TATTTATTTTTGCATATAGCTTATTAATATTTATTTCAAATTTATTTCAAAATGACAGCAGCAGACAGGACACACAACTGCTAGACACATTATTGCCTGATCGTGACTGCTTCACTCAGACACAGTCCTGTCCCAGTTCTGGGACTTGTTGTCCTTAACCTTGAGTGTTCAGCTTCACACATCAGCGTTCCCTGCTCTGGGCTGCAACTTGACATCTGTGGATTCCTTATGCTGAGCTTTAATTCTTGCAGGAGAATTATAATGCTTTTTCCCATTTCCTTATTTGATTTTTCCCAGAATTTAGGATTTGTAAAGATATATAAATTTCCCATCAAATGCCTGGAAGAAATTCCTACATGGAAACAGTGATTAAACGATCACAGTTTCTTTTTATTTTCCTTTTTAAAAAAAAAAAAAAAATTCAGCTTTATTGAAGTATAATTGACGAAAAAAATTTTAAGGTATTTGAAGCAATCATAGTGGTGATTTGATATACGTAGTGAAATGATTCCCTCTGTCTAGTTAATTAACATATCCATCGCCTCATATCTATTTATTTATTATTTGTTTGGTTTTGGCAAGAACATTTAAGTTCTACTCTCTTAGTGAATTTCAATTATACAATACAAGGTTATCAACTATAGTCACCATGCCTTACATTAGATCCTCAGACCTTATTCATCTTGTAGCTGAAAGTTTATACCCTTTCACCGACCTTTTCCTATTTTCCCCACCCTTCAGCAGCTGGCAGCCACTTATCTAACATCTCTCTTTATGACTTTTTTATTCCACATGTCAGTGATACAATGCAATATTTGTCTGGTTTATTCACTTAACATAATACCCTTGAGGTCCATCCATGTTGTCAAAAATGCCGGTATTTCACTCTTTCTCATGTAATATATATATCACATCATATTTCCATATCTTGGCATTGTGGAAAATGATGAATAAAAAAAGGAGTGCAGGGAATTCCCTGGTGGTCCAGTGGTTAGGACTCGGTGCTTTCACTTCGGGGGTCCAGGTTCAATCTCTTGTGTGGGGGAACTAAAGATCCCACAAGCTATGCAGCACAGCCAAAAAAAAAGAAAAACAGTAGTGCAGATTTCTCTTGGGGATGCTATTTTCATTTTGAATATACATACCAGAGGTGGATTACTGAATAATATGATAGTTCTATTTTTAACTTTTTGAGAAACCTCCATACTGTTTTCTATACTGATTACACCAATTTACATGGCTGCTAACTGCACAAAGGTCAACTTTTCTCCACATCATTGACAACATTTATCTCTTGCCTTTTTTTAAAACTATTTTTATTGAGGTGTAGTTGATGTACAATATTATATGTTTCAGGTATACAACATACTGATTCACAGTTTTAAAGGTATACTCCATTTATAGTTATTATAAAATATTGGCTATAATCCCTGTGATGTGCTCTACAATATATCCTTGTAGTTTATTTATTTTACACATAGTAGTTTGTACTTCTTAATCTTGTACCCCTATCTTGCCCCTCCTCCCTTCCCTCTCCCCACCAGTAACCACTACTTTGTTTGCTCTATCTCTGAGTCTGTTTCTTTTTTGATATATTCACTAGTTTATTTTATTTTCTAGATTTCACATATAAGTGGATAAGTGATATCATACAGAATATCTTGTCTTTTTGTTGATAGCCATTCTAACAGGTGTGAGTAGAGATCTCATTGTGATTTTGATTTACTTTTCTGTGATGATTATTGATGTTGAGTATATTTTCATGTACCTCTTGGTCATTTGTATGTTTTCTTTCAAGAAACGTCTATTCAGTTTTTATTCCTTATTTAAATTGGATTGTGGTTTTTGTTTTTGTTTTTTACTATTAAGTTGTACCAGTTCTTTATATATTTTGGATGCTACCCCTTTATCCGATACATAATTTGCAAATATTTTTTCCCATTCTGTAGGTTGCCTTTTCATTTTATTGATGGTTTTTTGCTGTGCAGAAGCTTTCAGTTTGATATAGCCAGTCCTACTGGTTTATTTTTGCTTTTGGTGTCAAATTTTAAAAAATCATCGCCAAGACCAATGTCAAAGAGCTTATTCCCTATGTTTTCTTGTATGAGTTTTATGGTTTCAAGTGTTACATTCAAGTCTTTAATCCATTTTGAGATGATGCTACCAGCTTTCTAAATTTTTCAGTGATCCCAAAGAATGGTCAGAACAAAGAAGAGGAGGATTAGTGTAATCCATTATCACCAGTGGAAAAAAGTCTCTTCATATATTTTGCCAAAAATATAACTGTTTGTCTAAAACCCTCAAGTAACAAACAACTGCATGTCTAGAAAAAGCATATATGAAGATATGTTTACTTTTGATTTTTTTCCGGTAAAATAATTCACTCTGCAAAATGAACAAACAAAAAAACTTTAGCATAGTAACTGTGAGTATTAATATTCACTACACAAAATCTAAAACATTGAAAAATTTGATATTTTGGGGTCCTATATCATTTGCCTTTCTGTTTTGGCTGGTGATAAAACACCATAGCTAACCATATAAGAACCATAATTTATATAATATTCTGCTAATTTTTCAATGTAGTGCTTGACAAAATTCTGACTCTCTGCACTTGACTCCACAGAGAGGTTAGGTGCTCATTGTCACTGTCTCTAAGATAGGGAGCATTTGTTAAGACAAGATTCACAGAAATATTATCTGTACTGCCAACCAATATTGTTTGGGATGCGCACTCTTACTAAAAATATGTCTCTGTGATCTTCTCAAGTTTGTGCACACTGAAATTGACCTATGGAAAGAGGAGGATTCATATTTCAGGTCCTGATACAGGGATGCTGCAAGGGAGGAGGAGAGTTAGGTTGAAAGGTGGGATTTGTCCTGTTGTTGCACAACCGTAGCTAATGCCTGAAGTGGGGGAACCAAAGCACTTAAATCTTCACATTCTCATTTGAAAGAACTTCAAGGATCAGCAGTGTTTGGTATCAACCATCTCCCCAAACTTGGGGGTCATCACCCCTCTTCCACTTTACATCTTCAGCCATCAAAGTTAATGTAAAAAAGAACGAGGAGGTCAGAGAAATGGCTCTGGGTGGAAGAAAAACTGGTTTTTTTAGTGATAAAACCAGCATATCTGCTCCCTAAAGGAAAGGAGGGAGGTCCCAATAAAGTGGATAATTATGGGAATGTAAATTGGTACAGCCACTAATGAAAACAGCATGGAGGTTCTTCCAAAAACTAAAAATAGAGTTGCCATATGATATAGCCATCCCACTCCTGGGTGTATAACTGGAAAAAAACAAAAACTCTAATTTTAAAAGACACAGGCACTCCAGTGTTCATAGTAGCATTATTTAGGATAGCCAAGACATGGAAACAACCCAAGTGCCTGTCAACAGAAAATTGGCTTAAGAAGATGTGGTATATAAGTATACAATGGAATATTACTCAGCTGTGAAAAAGAATGAAATATTGCCATTTACAGCAACATGGATAGACCTAGAGAATTTTATACTTAGTGAAGTAACTGAGACAGAGAAAGACAAATAATGTATGATATTACTTACATATAGAATCTAAAAAATAATACAAATGAATCCATATACAAAACAGATATAGACTCACAGACATAGAAAACAAATTTAAGGTCACCAAAGGCGGGGGGGGGGCAGGGGAGGAGGGGTAAATTAGGAATATGGGATTAACAGATACAAACTACTATACATAAAATAGATAAGCTGTAAAGATTTACTGTATAGTACAGGGAACAGTATTCAATATCTTGTAATAACCTATAAGGAAAATAATCTGAAAACAAAATAACTGAATCATTATGCTGTACACCTGAAACTAATACAATATTATAAATCAACTATACTTCAGTAAAAAAAATTGGCTAATATTGTTAATGAGCATCTGCAAAAAAGGAAAACCTTTAGTTTTTGTGTGTTTATCCAGGTGGAAAATCTGCACACTTATCCTTCCCCTGCGGGTGTCAGATAAAGGGAAGAAATTGGGAAGAGATGACATGATGGAGAAAGGCCAGGCAAAGCAGGGACAAGGGCATCTCCTCTAATTCTCATCCCCTGACCATAAGGAAGGTGGATGAAAAATAATTTTTACAAAAAACTTCTATAATAGAGCACTGTAGATAGCAGTAGAAGTGGAAGATGGATTACTAAAATTCTTATGCTTAACCAAGGATTTATCGATGATGTATCTAGTCCACTGATTTCTAACCCAACAGACTAATTTCCCTCTTCTACTGATCTCATTTTAAAGAAAAATAAAGACCAGTTCCATAGAATTCAAGAATATTAAGATTCTAGTTTTCTTTAGATTAATTTATATGTATGAGTGTATGTAGTGTATTTATGTAGCTAGGATGACAAGAAATCCACCTTACTCAATGTTAATAGAAGGTTTCCATTTGTAACACCGACCATAACCACAACCTGTAAGAAGCAGTTATCTATGAAACTGCCCCAGACGTATGGAAGTCAAGTAGGGGCCTTAATCAAACAAAGTGGTTTGGGCTTCCCTGGTGGCGCAGTGGTTGCAAGTCCGCTTGCCGATGCAGCGGACGCGGGTTCGTGCCCTGTTCCAGGAGGATCCCACATGCTGCGGAGCAGCTGGGCCCGTGAGCCGTGGCCACTGTGCTTGCGCGTCCGGAGCCTGTGCTCTGCAACAGGAGGGAGGCCCGCGTACCAGGTTCTCAGTAAGATCATCATTTTTATTTAAACAATTGTTTGCCACACTGCAGCTGGGTAGAAAATTTTGAAGATAATATAAAATATGAAGGGTTAATCTGAACACTCAAGTTAAAATGGTGCACACAGATATAAGCAGATTAACAGCCTTAACTCTCCATGTATTTGGGCAGACTAAATAGGCATGAGACAGATCCAGAATCTATAACACTAAAAATACGTGTTTATTCTAAATTACCCCCCAAACTTCCCATTATATGAAGTAAAAATACTGTTTAATGAAAAACTCACCATATCTGTATCTGAGACGGGGCCAAAACTGGTCACATAGATGTTAGTGAAGACTTCAGTAATACTGTCTGGTGTAAGAAAAAGAGATTGAATATAGACATTATATAATGAGAACCACAGGAGAGAGAAGGGGTCAAGTACATGGCATGGTTAGAAAGTTCTGTGACATTTGGGAATATTTCGTTTTTGCTTTCTTTTCAATGTTCACAACCAACAAAAATGGCTGTATTACTTAATTACTTCATAGGGTCTTACAATCCTAAATGCTAAATGCTTAGAAGGATTATGACATTCTTATTTGGAAACTATACCTGACTAGAGCATTTTGTTTTCAGCACACTGCTCAGAATGAATAGTTTCTCAGAAACTATCTTAAATGTACCGTCAGTACGGAAAATAAAGTACAGTTAGTATGGTTACTGTTTGATACAGTCCTGTAATTGGCCATTAAACCAAATATTTCAAATGGTATTTCATAACGGTAGAGATTTAGTTTGTAAATTGTAAATTAGTGTATCTTCTCAATAAAGCACAAACACGTTGCTAACCATTATAAATAAACATAATTCATATTTTATAAAAAGCTTTATCATTCAGTAACATAAAAATAAAAGGAAATAGCATTCATTAATCACAAGGATTACTTCCAAACAAGCTTGCCTTTACATGTATCTAAGAATGCCTAAACCACAAAGATTAAATTGAATTAGATTTGAAAGTTATGTAACTTATAAAGTGTAGCACAATTGACTGGATTGCTTTATTAACCAGGTGATTTAGATCTTTGATTTTAAATAAGCCAAATGGCAATGGGGGGAAGCTCAAAGGAAAAATTTAAAACTAAAACCCTTTCAGTGTTCTTACAAGAAAAAAGTACATCATTAATTTCTACCATCATGAATATAATGCCTTAACTGCTAAGTGTCAAACGTGTAATTCTACACAAACAATATCACGAAATATTTTAATATTATACTGAACATTAATTTACAACCATGAAAGAGACAGTAAACTGAGTCTGGAATATTGTATCCACTAAAGCAAAAATAAAAAGTAAAAGGATTTTGAAATAACAGAGTAGACTGAATGCTTACTCTTAAAAGGACTTGAAATGTAATAATCTACATGAGAAATCTATGAGATAGATTCTCTGTTATCATCCCAATATATGTGTACACTGATGTACGGAAAGTTAAGGAAATGTGCCCCATGACCCACACTCCATTGAATGGATAGAGCCACGTTTTAGGAACCAAGCACTCTGGCTCCTGAGCCCTCAGGGTAAACAAAGCACTGTACCACAGTCAAGAATAAATTTAAAACTAAAAGTGTTTTCTTATCAACTACATATTTCTATTCACCACAATACTCTGTGCCAAAAGCACACTTATGGTGTTCCAAATAAATATATTCCTTCAACTTTGTTATTTTATATACTATTTTATTCCAAAAAATGGTATTCGTGAAATTTTGTTATAAAACTCATTTGAAACTCATTTCTAAAGTTAATTCTCAGCTGCCACCTGCCCCCAAACACCTGCACAGGGTCTACTTCATAGCTATACAATTTGTGCAGTCACATAGGTCCCTGTGCTCAGAAAAGTCCCATGCCTGGTCTAATGTTCTGTTTTTGCTTCCTTGAAATTCTTCATTATGTTTTGCATAAAGGGCCATGCATTTTCATCCTGGACTGGGCCTCACCAATTACGTAGCTGGTCCTGGATCTGAATTGTATATGTTTTTTTCCTCTTACTCATACAAAATCAATCATGCTCTCACATTTATTCAATAAACAATTGAATAAAACATTAGTCACTATAGATGTTGGTTTAAAATGTTCCAAGAGAGAGAAATTAAAATGTTATGGTAGTCTTCACCCAAATAGAGGCAAATGGAATTTATTCTCCTTAATCTGGAGTTGTAAAGTTAGAAAAGAGAGTTGATAAAAATACATGAATATATTCATGCTAAGGACATGAAGAATATCCACTTACACACCAAATGGCAAGTAAAGAGTAAAGGAGAATATGATCATCCTAGTGGCTGCAATGAGGTGCCAACTAAGAATCTAAAGAGAGAAAAATAAAATTACCCTAGAAGCTCTAAACAGTAAGAGCAACACCTCAAGACAGAACAGAGATATGCAAAGTTACCTTAAAGAAAATAATTTCAAAGTCTATGGACTTCATAAACACAGTTAAAGAATGTATGCATTTCAAGGAACATTCTCCTGCTATGCATGTTCAGAAAAAGTAGAGGAAAATAAAGTGTCCCTAAAGCTAGAGATGATAGTGTTACAAAGGCAGCTTACACCCCTGCGAAGAAGTGAGTTGTGTACAGTCACTGCTGCTGAGAGATCCAGTAATCTGAAGTGTGGAATATTTACTGAATTTAGAGACCTGGGAGCCATTAGTAAAATAATGTGTGCAGAGGCCAGCTTGAAGTGAGGGAAGTGAGACAAGAGGAAGAGCCTAGAGTGATTTTAAACAACCTTTGAGAAGTTCGACTGTGAAGGGAAACAGGACTCCAGCAACAAGGGAAGGTGGGGGAAAAGAGACAGTTTTTGTTTGCTTGTTTAAGGCGGAAGATAGTTAAGGATCTGGCAATGCAGACGGAAGGGACTAAGGGAGCCGCTGAATATTCAGGAGACAAGATCAGTGAAAGAGGAATATTCCTGAGTAAGCAGGTAGTGCATTCATTAAAAGAGATTGACATTATATACATGGAGAGAAGAAGGGGGAGGGAATATCCTTAATTATTATATCGGGGTGAGAAGACAGAATGTTGAAATAAATGGAAGTAGGTTTTTCGGTCTAGTGGCCGGAAAGTTCCTGGAGAGGAGAGAAATTCTGAGTTATGTGCAAAATATCTGTGCATTATTTTTATTATAATAGATGATGATTCCAAGTAAAACATTTGGTAGTATAATTATATTAATAACATTTACAATAGTATACATCCATAGAAGACCAATGTAGCATCTGCTGCCAGTTCTTTGTCCATAGCCCCTTGACAATCATGATTTCTCTACATCAGGGGTCCCCAACCCCCAGGCCATGGACAGGTACAGGTCTGCAGCCTGTTAGGAACCGGGCCGCACAGCAGGAGTTGAACGGCGGGTGAGCGAGCGAAGCTTCATCTGCCGCTCCCCATTGCTCGCATTACCTCCTGAACCAACCCCTCACCAGTCCATGGAAAAACTGCCTTCCATGAAACCCTGGTGCCAAAAAGGCTGGGGACAGCTGCTCTACATGCTGGGATGTTCTGCTGCAAGCTCCTGTGATTCTCTGCCTGAGGGCTTTTCCTGGCTGTGCAGGCCAGAGTGTAATTGCAGAAAAGTTTGTGTTCCTGGGAACAGCCATCAACCAACAACAGATGAGAGATGGAGGAACTATAACTCAGCTTTCTCTCTCTCTCAGTGGAGACAACTCTAAGGCATGCTCTACACCATTTCCCAAATGACTTCAGTGGGAGGAAACTACGACTGTCCTCAGCAGTAACCTGCTCACCATGGTACCCTGCTTTGGCTGTGCTCCCTTCCCTGTATCACTTTGACCTCCCTCAGCTAGTGCCGCCTGATATCCCTTCCCAGATGATTGTGTATCTTAGAGTCTGCTTCTGTGAGAAGCCAAAGCCAACTACAAACATCATTCACATACTCTAAGAAGAAAAAACAGATAATAATTAAAGAGTCAGGAAAGATATTAATTGTATTAAAAGAGATTAATTAATTGCAGCTAACCATCCAAGCAATAAGCTATATCATCTTCACCCCTGTAATTTAGATATAACACTAATACTAATAAGGGCACACACTCATAAGATGGAGAGTAAAATCAAACTGTAAATGACATCCCTTCAAGAAGATGAGGATGCTAATAATTTTGCTCACCACGTATCATAAATAGCATGTCATGCACATATTTTAAGACAAGTTAGCCATTGCTGTCTTGCTTTACTCTCTCAGCAGCAACAAAGACATTTTGCTTCCTGGGATGATTTCTGTTATCAGCTACATGTGCCATTTGTCATCAGTCAAGTTCAGTAAAGTCAACAAATACTTAACCGACTTTTGTGTATATGGCACTTAGTGTTCCCTATTAAAGGTTGAAAACTTGGAATCTGATAATATAATTTGTCACCATTCCACCACAAAAGAATTGCTGCTGCTTATCCAATATCTTCCTCCCAGTAGACACTTAACACGTGTTTGATAAATATAGTGCCCATAAAATCAGGAAGAGTTAAGACCAATAATAAAACCAATATGAATTGTGTTTTCTTACAATCATTTTTCATGATAGTTCTAAGTTTTGGTCTTTGATTCTTTGCAATGATTTGGAAACATGAAATATAAGCATATATCTAATGCATGAAATTTCCTCTCAGTGTAAGACTCCTGGTGCTTTTAAATCTTTATACATTCTGCTTGTTCTTGTAGTTTTGTTTATTTACTTTGATTTTTTTCCTACTAATGAAAATGCATTGATTTTAAAAGTATAGCACATTTGGGGATCTGAAACAAGAATCACGATGGCTGTATGTTTATGGACAGGACACAAAGTCCTCAAAGGATAAACTAAACATACCCCATCATGACAGTCATCATGATTTGTAACCATCATGATTATGGGTTACAAATGAATCTGACTTTGAAATCACTGGAGGGTCTATCTATCCCCCAGTAAGATTTGGGACTGTTCTGGCCCTTAGAACCATCACCAGGTAGAAGATTTGTAGTGCCTTCTCTTTCTTTGAAATGTCTTTCTTCAGGACCTAATGATTCAGCTTGCTCTGGTGAGGAAGCTGAAAACACACCTCTCTCCCCAAAGCACTAGTAAAGGAAATCAACTAGGAAAGGGAAGAGGAGACTGAATGCACATTGATTCCCATGGATTTAGTGGGACTGTTTGGTTCAATTAACAAATACCTACTAAGAGTATACTAAGTATTGTCCAGAGATCCCCTGCCTGACAGACAAGGGAGAGAATGTTTTCAGAGGGAAGCTGTTAGTGGTGCCAGAAGCAATTTATGTTCCTCAAGGTAATGTTTCATCAATACTTTGCTA